ATAGACAAAATATGCAATATGTTGCTGATATCTGTGTTTATGCTTGTGCAACTGAGCAGACTGATAGATGATCTAGTGGCAAGCTTTGATCGGATTGCAGATTTTTTTCAGCGCATTTAAGTAAACCTTGGTAGAGTACGCAACCTTCCCTCCCTTCTCTGCTATGTAGAATATCCATGCACAGGTAGGTCATCATGTATTGCGCTTTCAACATTGCTGGATAACTGGCCCGACTCAGATCCGCGTCAAATTGCTTGGGATTGCCAAATGCATGTACGGAAAACCAACTGAAAAATGCCAGAAAGAACTGAAGGACAGTGATGCTATTCGTGCATAGACTAACAGGGCGTATGTTGCGCATCTCTATGGTATTCGTAGACTGCAAAAAGTTTGTATACTCCTGCGTCTACTTCCGGATGTGCACAATTCGGCGGCACTCCCAAAGGTTGTGAAGGATTAGGGTCACTCTGAGACTGATGGTAAGTGCATAGAAAACTTTAATTTTCTTAGTAGGATGGAAAAGCATTGAATAAAACAACACTGGTACCCCTGGATGCCACGTCACTTTTACTAGCGTGCCTTCATTAAAAAACGCATCAGGAGTAACTGAAACTCCTACTATCTTGTCTCTTGATAAGTCGAAAGGACCAGCATGACACTGCGTGCTGAATTCCCTGTCACCATTCTGAAGGACAGTGATGCTATTCGTGCATAGACTAACAGGGCGTATGTTGCGCATCTCTATGGTATTCGTAGACTGCAAAAAGTTTGTATACTCCTGCGTCTACTTCCGGATGTGCACAATTCGGCGGCACTCCCAAAGGTTGTGAAGGATTAGGGTCACTCTGAGACTGATGGTAAGTGCATAGAAAACTTTAATTTTCTTAGTAGGATGGAAAAGCATTGAATAAAACAACACTGGTACCCCTGGATGCCACGTCACTTTTACTAGCGTGCCTTCATTAAAAAACGCATCAGGAGTAACTGAAACTCCTACTATCTTGTCTCTTGATAAGTCGAAAGGACCAGCATGACACTGCGTGCTGAATTCCCTGTCACCATTAAACGGAGCCTTTCACAGACACATGGACGGAGTAGCCGCAACCTATCCATTTATTTTACCATTTGCAACTGGATATGGGTCTAAATAATAATACCACAGAATGGATAAAAATTCAATTCTGACTCTTGCGACAAAAAATGTTGACAGCACTTTTTCGACCAGACATTTAGTTTGTCCAGCTTTGTCGGGACACATCTAAATGCCCCATTAACTTGTGGAATACAACGGGAAAACTATAATCCTTTCCTGATTAGTTGATAACTCGAACACACAACAACTATGTTAGGCAAAGCACATACCACGAAACCCATATAGATTTAGAACTACACATTTTATGATGACTTCATCTTACTCGGGTCCAGGGGAATATTGGTGCATGTAACAGAGCTAGAAAGACTGGTCCGCAGGACACATTGGCTGGGGCAAAATGATTTGTCCTGAATTGTTTATGAAAGAAGATGCCTGGACAGATACATGGAAAAAACATGCAACCAAGGTTTTCCAACATACTGGCGAAAACATGCCTTAAAAATATGTACACATCTGCTCGCTGCGCAAAGAAGATCCGGCTATTGAGATTCTGGCCTGACAGTTCAAAGGAACTTTTGAAACGTCATTCATTACGCGGAATTTTAGAGCATATTTTATTTCAATAGTGATCATTTGTGGGTTTATCAATTTATTCATTGTCAATGAAACACGCAGCTACTTAAATTTTGTCTACACACATTTCGGCGGATACTGTCAAAAGGCAGTATTGAAAGTTTTATTCAGTTTTATTCATTGCATTAGCATTCACATCACATCATCTAAATAGCCATCTACTCACTCGTTTGAAGCTATCATTCTGGTTAACTAAAACTTGATCGGTTTGTCTAGAGGACGCATGGCGCTACCTGATAGGGAATTCTTAACAGGCTGTGGGATGCGATTTGTGAAATCAAATATCTGGTGATGGAAGAAACACTGTGGATGGACGTTCTCACGCTCTCCGCTCAGTTACCTCAAATAATACTGAAAGGGTGATAAGTTTCAGAAGTAGCTGAGTTCCCAGCGTAAGTGGACAGTTCGATCCCCTTAGATATAAGGTTAAATTTTGGTAAGTCGTCTTACAAGAAACAATAATTGTCCATTGAATCTTTTGGTCAAGTTAATTTGAACTGAATTACTTGGATGCAGACGTAGTGACAAACATAACGATACACAAGGTACAGTGAAGACATTGAAGTGCCCAAAAATACGTTATGGTACCCTTTCGAAAGTTTCGACTATGCTCACTCTTTGACCTTTTCAGGTTTACATGTGTGTCTCGGTGACATCCACGATTTCCCTGGTTTTATGTGGTAGTGAAAAGAGAGTATTGTGACCCCTGCCCTACAGGACTGCTTTTTGTATGTGGTCACTTATGACCAACAGTTGAAATGCACACAAATTCGGGCTGGAGTTTCGTGCTACTCTTTTGTGGCATTATCTGTCTGAATGTCAGTATGGCTGCTCCACTGGAACCCTTCTGCCATACTTCCACACCAAGCAACCAATATACTGGAATCATCGTCTTTATGGCACGTCAGAGCATGCCCAAAACATGTTCCAGTGGACTTATGTGAGCAGTGCAACCATGTCACCAAACTGGTATTTTTCCCTCTGTTCAATGTCCTCTGAAAGCGACTTTTATGAAAAATCAGTTTACCGAAATTGCAGTGGTGCTTCAGGCAAAAGTCCGAGTGGCTAACGCATTTAGGTGTTTTAAGTATATAAAAAGGTGAACATGTGGAGCTTTTGACTCTCTAACTTTGTGGAGGTAGCCCCTGTAGAACAACTTTAATCACAAATCTTATGCAAAAACATAAGTACACCAATTACAGCCGGCACGTAGGGTCAGTGCAAATGACGTCAAACAATGTGGGCTCATGCTCTATGGCTAATCTCCTAACCTTTTTCATTCTCATTGTTCCTTTGAGTAACCACCTTCCACTTTTCAAAAAATAATAAGAAAAATGGAAAATGAGATTAGGATTTGATGGCACTGGAACTAGAGAACGCGGCTACTTAGCATAGTCTGGCAAGTGTGCTGATGACTGAAAAATATGGATTCCCCATCGTCAGTGAGAGCTTTCACGTACTTCATACCCAGGTTGATGCATTTGCTAACCTTTCTAAGTTGTATGGTCAAAGCTGTCGTTGACCAACCACCGGTCTTTTTGAGCTTGACTAGGGCTTCTTGGTTGCTCTTTCTTTATTGGAGTGTTATGTCCAAGCCGGTCTACAAATACAGTGTGCTATTTATAAGAGTGCACTTTTGCGCCCATCACCGATAAACCTACCTAGTAGGAGCCAGCTGGTGGAGTCCAACACGAGAGCATTTTGTACATTTTTGAATCCAAGTATTGTACGGATGACAAGCCAGTACCACAAATTTTGTCTTCGGCAAACAGATTTACACTGTTTCGAACCTAATTCGATGGTGCGAGTATTTTGAGGGAAACGTGGTTTCGCCTAATCTGTAAATTACCTTCGCCACAACATAAATTAAGAGCGTAAATCAACTTCAGAGTGCGAACTTTTCGACGGTCGTAGGTAAACACGTCTTTGAGTAGAGCATCAGAGTAGTACCTGTCAGGCCTTGCAGCGGAATTTTACATTCTAAAGGCTCGAAGTACACCTGACAAAACTCATTCTCCCTAACAGGTCATTTACATTACTTTTGAATGAAGAGAAGTAGCGATAAACTTGCACTCAACGTCACCAAACATTTCCTCCGTAGGAGGCTCTACACAAGTGATCTTTGAGCCTTCACTATTATGACGGCAATAACGGACTTAGAAAAGAAGGATTAGGACTGGTGTAATTGGTGGTTCTCACGCTAAGTGAAGAAAACTTTAGAATACGGCTGTATGCGTAAAACTGCGAGTGTAGGACCTCTAGTGTGGAGCGGATTCTAGGATTTTTCACCCTTGATTTTCCGTTCATATTGCTCTTGGAATTGGTTACTTGGAAAGGAAAGGTTTGATACTCTTTCCAACGTTTTTGTGGCGCTGAAAAAGGTTATAGTGAAGCCATTTCTTGAATCATTCATTCATTTAGTGAACTTCGTACTATATTAAACCTAGAATTTCGTATTTCTCAATGCATAGTTAGTGATGGTCTCCTGGTACTGGTGCTAACGTATGGGTCTGCTGCATATTCATCCCTTCATTACAGCCTTGGGCACAATAGCGTAAGGCAAGACCAAAGGGTTCACGAATCCGATGCAATCTCAGCGCTTCACGGCGATAAAATCTCATGCTGCTTGCTTAATAATGAAATTCTGAGCAAGTCGAAGCCTCTTATTAGTAGTTTTGGCTTGCTTGCGCAGCCAAATATAAGAACATCCGATTTTATCGGGCGGGTTTTGAAGCCCGATTGTCCAAATTCACCAGATCCTTATCCATTTTCTTCTGGAATCCAGGACCGCCTACACTTGTTCACACATGATTACTGGCTGCTGATTAGCTGCCCTTTTGCTTACGTCCCCTCTACCATACATACGGGAACGGGTTCTTATGCTGGAAACCATTGCTGCACGACTCTATTACGCACGATCCTGTTTGTAACAAAAATGTGAAAATTTGCTGGTGACTTGTCGGTCTATAAGCCGTCCCTAAACAGCCTACAAACACTGAAAAGGAAACCAGATATCTAACAAGAAGGTTCTATCCGATTTAGTGGTCGTTGGCTTGTTTGCTCAGCTGAGCAATTTGATCGCAAACGTTTCATCACCATCCTATCCAATTTGCTAGAAGAGGATGTTATACTACGCAACATTTACCATGAATAATTGACCAACAAACCAAAACGGTCAATCGGAAACAACGTGAAAACTCAAAACACAGTGTACATAAGGAAGAATACATTGTTTCCACTAAACAATACCTTCATTTTTTAATCTTGAATCCAGATTGAGAAAAACGGGCAAGTACAGTCTCCGGGAGAGGAGGAGATTACAGTTTCACCTCCTGGTTACAATACACATTGCGACGCATCCTATCGCCAAAAACTTCCAAGAACGCCGGAATATTTCCCACTCTCCTGCAGAGTTCTTATTCCTTTTCTTTTTAGGGGGGTGTTGAACTTTCTTGCGGAAGGTTTCCAGTAGATGGAGTCTTTCATTTGCAAACGCTAAGAGAACAAGTCCAAATGAAGTGGTAGTAATGTCCAGCTGAATAACTGGGAAACAATATTGAGGTCTTATATCACCTCACGACAGGAACATGTGTACAATGTGACGCTAATGGTTCCTCCAACTTGAAATTATGCCTCCATCGGTGGCCGGCTCCAACAGCAGACTGGCAACAAGAAATTTGGGATTGCGTGAGCAACTACATTTGGGCGGCGCAACGAGAAAGCAAATTTTAACATTGCTTATGCGTTGGAGCGATTCGGAGTATGTGGGTGTGCAGTCTGCATTACATAACGTTACCAGAAGGCAAAGGAATTATTTTGTGTCGGAATCCAAATGTACAGAGACATATCATGTCTCAAGTATTCAGATAAACTTCCAGACCACCACTACTAATTGACGGATTATGAGCACCTTATTTACACTCACAAACGTTGTCTTTGGTTATTAAAGGCAGGTTTATGGGAACATTCCGGGGTAAATTCTCCTGGGGGAGGCATACGAAACCTCTCTAAAATCGGACAACAGAAGATATATTTTCTTCGCAGGAGCGATATGTTTCATTCTGCCCTTTCAGTGGATACAGTATATGACACTCCCTTGAGGTTGTTAACTGAGTCGATGTCAATTCCTTCTGTTGCCAGGATAGACTGGACTCATGCAAATCACAGATCATGCTCTACGGTGTCCCAAAGAATGTGTGCTCTCAAGAATGGCGCAAAACACTTCGGGGCCCAGTTTACTTGCATTAAAAGGAGCGAGCCTTAAATTATTCCTTGAATATTGGCGAGAGCGGTTGTTACAGCGGTTGGCTGAAACATTTCTCAAGACCAAACATCTCTGCTTCCCAGCTATCGCGTGTAACTATGATATCCTCAGTGAAGGTTTTGAAACCGTCTAGCTGTTTGCGAGTAGGCCGACTCCCAAGAGAATGTGGCGTGTCCTAAACTAGTCCAGATCTACCACTCACCGAATTCAATTGGTCGAAAATGTAAATTTTCCTGCATCGCTTTGGTGCCACCAAAAGCGCAAGTTACTCAACCTTGTTCTCGTGATAACCAAAGTAGATGTGGGACGCATGCCAAAAGACAAAACGCAGTGGAGACGGTAACTTCGAAATAAACGGGAACGAATTGAAATATTAGCACCTGAGAACACATTACGTCAAGCCTACCTTTGGGAGGTTTTGACTGGTATAAATTACATATGGTGTCACTGGTGTGGCTAAAATTCATCATGGACGTCCCAGAAGATTGGGCAAAATACGGGACTTATTTTGGAAGAAGTGAACACCCAAAACGAAAAGGTACTGGCTCCATATGTGTGAATTTTTTGACAGCAATTTATACAAAAAGTACGCAACTACCAGGTTTTGTACTTTAAAACCATCCAACACTTCTTTCAAAAAGTTACCGAGAGTCCATGTGATAGAGTGCTTTTGCCAATAAGATAAGAGCTATTTACAGTCACTTGAAAAGCGCAACTATTATTTCACAACATTGACTTATTGAACCAACCCCATCGAAAACGTCAGTGGCATCATAGACGGGATCTTATTTTGAGATAATACTCCATTTCAGTTATCTAAAGTATAAGTGCGAAACGTGACGAACCGTGGTCAAAAGTGATTAAGAGCTGTTTTCGTAAATTTAATTGAAAAAGTGCCAGAATGACAGAGGTGTCTAATAAATGATAAAGGATGTTTCGTTTCATAACGATCTTTCTAAATGCAACATATTCTGGTGTTTTCCATTCCCCTTCCCCAACGAAGTTTCTTAAATTTTTTAATGCTTCTATTGAATTACTATATCTCTAATATTTGGTGACCACCTCAGCTATGGTTCACCCTTTTCAAGCCTAAAGATGCTTATTTGTGGATATTTCTGAGCGACTAACTCTAAAGAGTTTATACATTCGGTGAGAACGAGCGTTTAGGAGTGACTTTTCATTTGGGGTCATTTTGACCAGTATGAAGGAAAATTCAGCCTTTGTTTTCACATAATTTACTTTTTGTTCAACTGGATGTTGAAAGTGTCTCAGCGGAAGTTAACATGTGGATGGCTACCATTTTGATGACAAGAAGGGATTTTTTTGAAATGGTCAAACGTACTTCTTCGAAATTTTGTTCGGCTGTGAAAGATGTTTCGTTGCAGATTGCGTCTGATATATTCACGTACACTCTATTCGGGTGTATAAGATTCCAGAACACCAGATCCTTATTAGTAGATCACAGAAGCTTAGGTTTTCGTCTTTTCCAATGCAAATTAGGCTGCCTGGCGGATGAACGTTGTTCGAATCTGACAACTTGAGTTGTGCTATGAATAGAACAGGGTTCAAAATATAAATTATTGCTTCTTTCCATATACCTTTCTGGACAGCGGTCATCATTCAGACCACGAAGTATCCCGTACCACACGAAAATCAGACTGACTGACCTTACAATATATATAGCCGTGCTGAAAGTATTCAACGCGCATAATGCATCGCATCGACCAAACAGATAAACACCAAACCGTATAATTTCACTCCTTCAACTCCAACATCTAGTTTCAGTATACAAGCATGGAAGTAAGTCACACGAATGCTTCAAACCACAGTATATATATATATATATAATTATATATATGTGGTGTGGTCAAAGTTTACTGTGTGCAGGGCAAAAAATTTGTCTGTTGCGTTATTTTCGTTGTCCTTAAAATATTTCTGCCTAATTTTACGGTGGGCGGTGATAGCGTGTGAAACTGGAAGCGTGCTTTATTTAAAAAGTAAGAGAGGTCTGTCGAATGATGTATAGTGGACAATCAGGTGATACTTTGTATCGAAGAGTTTCAGTTAAAGTTTGCTGGCGTCCGAAATGGAAAAAAAACTTGCGGAGCTTTTTGAATGTGTAAGTTACCTGCAACTTACTGTTTGGTGCAGAAAATTACATACACACAAAGTCACCCACTCTCCCGCAAAATTAATGTACAAATGATGAAATGTGGTGTGCTGGGGCAAATCTAGTACTGTAATTATTGTAAATTCGTTCTTGAATTAGGAACAGATGGAGTCAGTCAACAATACAAACAGAATACAAAATGCTACTAGAATTATCCTGGATGGACAATCACAACGGCCACCTAATCATTAACGTTTGATGATTACGCCAGTTACTCTAGGAGGACACATATCGGACACTTGCCCGAATCAGCTCCGTCTGATTCTATTTCATATTTCTGCCACCCATATGACAAACCTCAGATCATAAGGACTGCCTCCGAGGCAATTTTCGCTCCTAGTGTTCTGAGGCGAATTTGAACCGTTTATGTTTGGGCTATATGCGCTAGCGCAGTGTCCATTCGAGGGACTATGGATCTCAGCCCGGATGCCCCAGTATCGCGGTTTCTCTGTCTCCGATACTCGAATTGCATAATTTTCAACAATCAAGAGGGCCATTTAGCAAAATTCAAACGTTGTGGATGAACATTTTAGGATTAATTAACATGCTTTTTAACATCGTTGTGCACGAAGCTTTACACTATAATGTGTGCCCGGAATCTTCCAACTGTTTTACTTTGCTGTGTTTCTCTTTAGGACAGGATAAAAAACGTGTCGGTGGATTTAGCACAAACGCTCCGGTCCTCTGAGGTATAGGTTGAAGGACTCGTGTTAACTGCCTTTGCCATACACTAAAAAGCTTACATCGTATTATGGACAGATTTTTGAGCGGAACTTGATATGTTTCACCCCAAAACGAGAGCACAGTTGAGTCGAAATCGCGAATGAACAAATCGGCCCCCTCCACGTTTATTCTGTTTACTTCCACTGAAGCGTTACTGCAAAAAAGTTGAAGTTCTTTCGGCTAACTGCCAGAAGATAATACAATTGGATGGCAAAATGAGAAGCGCTTTACTACTGGTAATGAATGTTTGCAATAGCGGTAAACGAGGAAATGGCCGTGACTTGTTGTGGCCAGATATATAGTAGAGTCAAGCGAGTTGTAATTTGCGTTTGACTTGCATTCTCAATCCAACACCTCCTTCACCAAGGGGGCTTAGCCACATGAAGTCAATTTGAAAAGTGTTGAAGGGTGTCCTAAAACACAGGCTTGTTGGAGCTGTACTATGTTCACTGTGGTAGACATCTGATCTCTTAGAGGCTTTACTTCAAGTGGACGATAAGCAGCCAGGATGTGCACGAATTTGACACTGGCCACAGTTTATATAGCTATTTGAATTTAATTCAGTATAAATTAGCTGCTGATCAACCTGCCCCAACCGTGCTTGCGCCTGAATGTGAGGTTAGGGTTTTTGTCTATATAACACAAATGTACAAATGTATGAAAAAGCTCAGTCCGACATGCGAGACGTTTTTTATTCGCTAGGGATGGCCACATGCTCTAGAGTGGTTACAGATTGATTCACATTATTGTTTGATAGTTTGTCTTTATAAGCTAGGTGTTAAGATGTGGATTCCCCGCTGGCATGATGAAAATTTCAGGGGAAAGTGGAAAAAAGAGCAGACTTGAGGAACCTTACAATCCTTGATATGTGTAAGCAGTGGGCCTCAGGAGGCACGATAAGACGTTTTCTATTATCCATAAAAAATTATATGTTCCTATTTCATTAGGTGCCAAAATTTCAGATTGTGCTTCTCTGAAAATCGTTTGGCCTTAAATAAGACGAAATAATTGGGCATAACAATCCGAGTTTCACGCTTGTTAACAGCATCGTTGACCATGGCTCCTTTGCTTTGTCCGGGAAATCCATCTACTAATTCCAGACGGGTAGATCAACGTAACGCCTGATCTTAGCCCTTCTGATTAATTTGTAAGATGTCGGATTTATAGATGAATAAAGCGTTCACCGAATTGATTTAGCTTGAGATGATGTGCTTAATCCGTAACTTTATTAAACTAAGCATGTTACAGTTGATGA